ATATATATATATATATACATATACTTCTCATATATAAATCAAACAATAAATGTTACATATTTTGGGTTTGTGAATACCTTCCATAGAATAGCTGCTGCATGGCTACATGATTTCCCTAACCCGGCAATACACGAGCAGCCAACTGTCTCCACGACTCCACTTTCCTTTAGCATGACCCACGCTGTATGTTTAGCTTGATTGACGCTCTGGCTGGGCTCTACTGCTGCCTTCAGAAATAAAAATTCGCCGTGTTTCTTGAACAGTACTGTACCTATTTTGTTACTATGCAGGTAATTATATGCTTCTGTGCTTTTGTAATTCCGTAATTCCTCGCCATCAACACCTTCGGAAAACACAAAGTAATTAACAATGTCGATGTAGCTAACATCGGGCCATTGCTTCATGTCATCTACCCACTCCGTGAGGAGTGACGGGTGCGGTACTGTTACAGAACTGTCCTCACGACTTTCTAAAACAGCTGTACTGTGCATCCACCTCCGATTTTTGTCCATTTGAGTCATATCCATGGCGAAAAGCCGGCGTTTACGGTGGCTTTCACCGCTAGCTCAACCGTAAACACCGTTAAACCGGAAGTGCTTTACCGGCTTCCGGTTTGAAACAGGAAGTCAGGAATCAAGTCAGGAAAAAGGTGAATAGGGCGAAAGAATTGACCATAAATTGTGATCACGTTCATTTTCCTCATTGATGACAATACATTCAGAGCTGCCGCAAGTCTTCTACGGGGGCGTGGCGCTGATGTCACTGAATCAGGAAGTGAGCTGAGGGGGATATCTCGCTTTATCCAATATCTCTGATATAGCCCCAGTTTTTTGCATGCATTACATCCCTGTCTCAGAGCTAAGCATCAGATTTTTAGTTTAAAAAGCAGTAAGAAGGTTGTTTCCTTTATCAGCTGACCTCTCAAATCCTCTTTATCTTTTTTTTTTTTTCACTTGAATTGAACTTAACTCGCATATCTGCAAAGGTTCTTAAAGCAGGTAAGAAAAGAAGGGGAAAAGAAAATAACAAAACAAAGGAGTAATGATTACAGAGAGAAATATTGGTCCCTGAGTCATAAATTAACTACTAGTGATCCACAGTTAGGTATCAGTGGGCGTTGCAGGAGGGTTGATGGGAGGTTACATAAGAAGCCGGCCAGGCCTCCGCACGGTCTTCGTGTCCTGGATCTGGACAAGGGTCACAAGTCTCTCTGTGTCTTTTTGCTGAAGGATTCAGTTGGAGAAGTGACCTAAAGTCGACACACACACAGCAGCCACTGCAGGTAAGTCCCAGTTTGTGTGGGAAGCCTGTGACTGGGAAGCTCAGGGACCCACCCTTACATTTTGGGATTTCTTTTCTCTGTCTATTACACTTGGTTATATTATTATTATTATTATTTGCTTCATGCACTTGAGCTAATACTGAAACAATATTCGGCAGAAATTTACACAAACATGCTAAATATGTCCAGTTGTCACATTTAACAATATTTATCTGCATATTTCACTTTTTTGTATTTTATCTCAGAAAAAAATGTTAGTTTGCATAATGTGTGACTTCATTTCTGCAGACAAAGACGAGATGAGGAAGCCCAAGAAAAAGAGTGTAAGTCTAAATGTTAATGCACTGTCTGTAGTCCTTAAAACTGCACCTATTTATTGGTCACTGCCATGATACCCAACAGGACTGAATTTTTACGAGGAAAAAATATGCACTCATCCATGAATATTTAAAAATTCATAAATAATTATAATCACATAATCATGGCATTGAAAAAAAATCCAGTTCAGGTAATGAAAGTGGTTGATTAAAGAGTATTTCACCTAACTCTTGGTGTCTTATAAGTAACTTATCAACATGAAAGTGAAACAACACAGTAAGTGTGCTGTCCAGAACCTGCAAACTCCTTCTTCAGTCACTGAAGTTTTTCCTTTCTCCTCTAACAGGCAACTATTTTTGTCTTCCCAATAAGCATCTTTTTCATCGTTGTCAATGTGTTCTGCGAACGTTTCTCCTACTATGGCATGCAAGGTGAGAGGGTTTGATCTGGATCTCGTGCACTTTTAGTCTTGAAATGGTTTTATTCATACATTATGAAGCTGTGCCATCTGTCTTTGCCTAACCTGCACCCAGTAGTGTAAACCAGATTTACTCAAGTACTGTATTTAAGTACAATTTGAAGGTACTGAGATGGAATAGAAAGTGCAATTTGTACCTCAAAACTTAGTTACACCGATCAGCCAAAACATTAAAACCACTGACAGGTGAAGTGAATAACTTCAAACTTCAAACACCACTGCAGACCAAGTACCCCCCTCATGGCAACAGTACTCCCCAATGGCAGTGGCCCCCCAGCAGGATAATGCACCATGCCACACTGAAAACATCGCCCAGGAATGGCCCAAGGAATGTGACAAAGCCCTCAAAGTGTCAACCTGGCCTCCAAATTCCCCAGATCCCAATCTGAATGAGCATGTGTGGCACGTGCCATTAACCCACCTCACAACCCACTCGACTAAATGGATCTTCCGCCAACGCACTGGTGCCAGACTCCGCAGGACACTCCCAGAGATCCTGTGTCCATGCCTTGACAGGTCAGAGCCAAGTCCAATCCAAGGAGGCCCCACCTTGGATTAGGGGTACATCTGGGGTATCAGCACATCACAAGAATCCTTGAGCAAATTGGGACCTGGGAAATTTAGAAGCCAGGTCGACACCTTGAGCTTTTTGTCACGCTCCACAGGCCATTTCTAAACAGTTTTTGTAGTGTGGCATGACGCATTATCCTGCTGGGGGGGCACTGCCATTGGTGAGTACTGTTGCTTTGAGGGGCGGTACTTGGTCTGCAACGGTTTGTCAGTGGGTGGAACATGTCAGGTGGTATCCACTTGAATGCCAGAACCAAAGGTTTCCCAACAGAACAATGCATTGGAACAAAATAATCAAAGTTATTCACTTCACCTGTCAGTGGTTTTAATGTTCTGTACTTTTCACCACTGAAAAAATATATGAAACTTTCCAACAATATTTAAAAAAGATACATATATAGAAATAGCTATAATAATGTGACAGTTTTTACTTGAAATACTTAAGAAATATTCTGCTGATTATACTTATATATTTTTATGTGAGTAAGCTTTTCTTCTACTTGTAATAGGAGCATTTTTACACTGTCATAAAAGATGTGAATACTTCCACCTTTTTGTGCATTATCATTTTTACTTTCTCCCATTTTCCTCCGTCTCAATCTGCGTCTGCAGCCGTGCTCGTGCTGTACTTCAAGTACTTCCTGAGATGGGATGATGACTTTGCCACCACTATCTACCATACCTTTGTGGCTCTCTGCTACCTGACGCCCATCCTGGGAGCCATAGTGGCTGATTCATGGCTCAGCAAGTTCAAGTGAGTTTTAAATCCAGCGACTCTTTTACCTACAACCAAATACAGACATGCATTATGAGTATAAAACTGTAATTTGCTTTACATGTTGTTATAGTACATCGAGAAGTAGAGTTGGGGTTAAAGTATATCTCACAGAATGGGCTGTTAAATTTTATCCTTGGATTTTTGACCCTTGTCTATCTTATCTGCGCACCTGTTTTACTCTTCGCTCCTTCCTCCTCCTCCCTCTTCACAGGACTATTGTTTACCTGTCCATTGTTTATGTGCTGGGACAGGTTGTCTTGGCAGTAAGTGCTATCCATGATGTCACAGATAAAAACAAGGATGGCACCCCCAACAACATGACCTTCCACATGTGAGTTGAACACACACAGAACTGCGCAGACACACAACAGGGAAAGATAGTAGTGACACTGTACCTGTGCTTCGATCTGAGATCCCTGTCCATGGTGGGTTTGCTCCTTATTGCTCTGGCTTCAGGAGGCATCAGACCTTGCATGGCTGCCTTTGGTGGAGACCAGTTTGGTGACCATCAGGTTAGATGTCGCTCAAGCATACACACACACACACACACACACACACACTGTATACACATGGCAAAGAAGAAAAATTACAGTCTGATGAAACCTGGTTTAAGAGTCCTGTAATAAAAACTGGAGGGCTTATTGTTACCTGTAATTTCTGGTTTATTTTTTTGTCCAGGACTTGTTTAATCTCCCTGTGTTCAACAGGAGAAACAGAGCAATTAAAAAGACAACTTACTCGTCAGCATTTCTTGTATCTCTATTTGTTTCCAGCTAGTTGTTTATTAACTAATAACCACAAGTACATCTGTCTCAGTGACTTTATGACACTGTTCAAGGCCAGGGACAAAGATTGCCTCATAATATCAATGACTCTGATGAAATGAGATGTTATATAAAATGCATCCAGTAGTGTGATTAATGAAAAATGTACATCAGTGCTTTTTTTGTCCAGAACCTGTTTAACCTCCTTGTGTCCAACAGGAGAAGCAGAGGAGCACCTTCTTCTCCATCTTCTACCTGTCCATCAATGCTGGTACTCTGTTGTCCACTGTCATCACTCCCATCCTCAGAGGTTCGCTGATGTTGATCACAGAGCATAGAATACATCGCTGACTCAGGTGTTGAAGTTTTAAAACTGTGTGTGCTGTGGTTTCCAGCTCAGGAGTGCGGTATTCACACGCAGCAGAAATGCTACCCACTGGCCTTTGGTGTCCCCGCTGCTCTAACGGTGGTAGCTCTGAGTAAGCATTCATTTAGTTTTTTTTACCGTCTCTCAGGACATTTGAAGGGTATTCAACAAATTTTACATTTGTTGGTCAGCTACTACTAAGCCTATAAAAACCTCTGTGTACAGTAATATCTTATGTGGCTCTGCAGGAGTCAAGTCTTAAAAAAAAATTCTGATGATGTCACAGTTATGTCATCAAGGTTTTGTCAGCTTGGGCTGGGAGACAAATTTCTAACAGAGTCTGCATTAGAAACTGGAGTTTCTCAGCACATTACAGTACTTGTAGGATCCAGTATTCATAGATCTTTAGAAACACTGGGGACTAAGGGCCTGTCTACACATGTACAGGTATTGTTGAAAACAGATATTTTTCCCCTCTCTTTTAAAAAAGAATTTTGTCCACATGAACTTTGGTTTATGAAATATCTCTGTCCACACTAGTGTGCAAAAATTACTTCAAACACTCGCCAGCAATGGCTGTCTTCAGCAGTCTCCCCTCGTCACAAAGGTAGTAAAGTAAACAGGCTAACACTGTCTTATTGAAAATAGAACTGGAGATCTTAAAACTGTTGACTCATGTTTGATAAAGGGACAAAGGAGATTAATCAAACATACGAATAATGATCTGGACATGCAAAAGTTTTCCTTCCATTCCTCATTGGCAACAGTCCCACTCTCAAAGTGTCAAATCATCTGCTGATTCAACTGGGCCTGATCCAAAACCGTTGTTTCTGGCAGAAATTCATTCATCCATTCATCCATTCGTGAAGTGATTCAGCAATAATAAGTTTAAGGGTAAAGTAGTCATTTCACTAGGCAGTGTTAACAAAATGTTAGCAAATCAGTAGTTCACCATTGTTGTCGTTTGTAATGTATACTCATTTTATAATATGCTCAACATAAACACAAAGCAACAGTGGGCATGCACAAATTGAGGAGATGATGTAATAGTTTCCCAAATGCTCAATTTAACATGTCCACACAGACAAAGAGTAGCTGGATTCTTGAAAAATCTAAAACTGTTTTTGTGTGAACTAGAGGCCAAAACATTGTGGAAAACAGATGTTTTCAAATATATCTGTATACATGTAGATAGATCTTTTAAGTCAAGATAATTCTGCCAGCTTAATGAAAATACAATGCTAAATAGTTGAAATGCCCCTTTTAAGAAGTTATTTATTAAATGTTTTTATAGATAATAAATAATCCATATGTGAGGACAGCTTCTGGATTGCCAGGTTGTGTTTTTTTACTGATGGCTTATTACTATGTCAACTTAGAAATAATTAATTATCAAACTAGTTCATTATTAACTCGATATTACCCTCTATAAAATGTGTTTTATTAGTGATACCGTGAACATTTAGTGGTTTCTAACGATGCCCTCCTTTATTTCCTGATTACTTTGTTACTCTTTGACAAGTAGTCAAATGTTAAAATATATATTTGGTGTGTGTCTGCAGTTGTGTTCATTGTTGGAAGTGGGATGTACACTAAGAACGCCCCTCAGGGCAACATCTTGGTCAAAGTCTG